CTAAAAATGAACCTACCATTTGACCCAGTTATACCACTCCTTGGCATATACCCAAAGAACTCATCCTGTTGCAGAGACACTTGTACATCCTTGTTTGATGCTGCTCTTTTCACAATAGCTAATAGATGGACTCACCCTAAGTGTCCCTCAACTGACGAGTGCATAATGAAAATGTGATTCATTTATTTGATAGAATTTTACTCAGCAGTAAAGAAAGATGAAATCACGAAATTTGCAGGTAAATGGATGGAACTAGAAACTGTTATACTAAGTGAAGTAACACAGACCCAGAAGAAGAAAAAAACAGCATATGTTCTCCCTCATATGTGGATCCTTGCAATAAATCCTTATAAGTGAATATGTATCCAAACATAACTACAGGAACCAGGATAATGAAGAGGAACCAGGGAAGTAAAGGAAAAGAATCTGAAAGAGAAGAACAGTAGAAAACAGGTATTAACAAGGGAGATATGGACAATAATGGAGTTGTTTTAAGGGGTCGGGGGCAAGGTTATACAAGGAACCATAGGCCATAGTGGGAAAGAAGGAGCTCAAGAGAAGTGGGACCATAGGAGAAGGGTATTATTAAGGGAGAAATCGAAAAAATAGGGGCGCCTTAATTGGGGAAAACATGGTGGAAGGGTTAGACAATGTGAGAGAGAAACAATGCCTAGCTTGTTTTAGACAACCAGAGTGAACCACATTTAGTCCGACAACGTACTGACAAATATACATACAACCAGATCAAAGAATGTAATATATGCCTAGGCAAGGTTTATCTGAGAGTGTTTGGTCTTTCCCAGGCTCTAGCTACATGGCATATGGTAATTAAAAGTACCAGACTGGTGGAACTGACCTTCTTGGATGTTTAACAGCCATATTTTGAGGCCTATACTAATTTGGTCAGGGGGACATAAAGGACAGTTTTTGCTCCTTGCCCTCCTAGGTTGACTAATTTCCAGGGGGCTATGAGCATCTCTCAAAATGCCCTGGAACTGTGGCGAGTCAACTGTCCTCTTGAGCAAGTAGGCTGTGGAGACCCCACCAGATGGACCTGAACCAGTGTCCAGTCTACAAAGAGGAGGGTCAACACAGGAAACATTTCCTCCATGTTTCCAAGCGAAGCCAGCCATGGTTGAGCAGGACTTTGGATTCATCTTCACATAGGTGGAACTGGTAAAAGAAAGGAGCCAGGGTCTCCTCCCAAGCCCATGTTATCCCTGAGGAAACAACCTTAAGAGTAAAAATAAATTGTTTTATCTG